ATCAGTGGATGAAAAATTGCTATAAGGGAACATCAAGGCTAAAGGGGATTCAGGTTAAACAGGCTTACTAAGATTCTTCCTGAAGGCCAGCCAGGTGATCACATATTGCCTGTATGAAGGTAAGCATGCTCAGTTATAAAAGGGTATCAAATACTAAATGTGAAGGACTCTCTCTAAATGGACTTAGCTACATTCTTGCTAAAACTGGTCAATGCAAGTCTGATAATTTGGGACCTAAAAGAGAAAGAGGCTTAGGGAACCTGACAAAGTTAAGGAAATAGTCTTTATTAATTTCTCTTTTTCACAGAAAGAACAGATACCCTTTTCTTTGAAGTTGCCTTTTGTTCATTAAGTATCAGTTCACTTATCTATTGCAACTTGGCAGAAGAGGTTATCTGCTTGACACAAGCATCCAGGCATTAATAAGGGGGCATTTCTATGAAAATGAACAGAAAAATAAAAGATTAGTGATTGGAACAGACTATAAACTCAACTTTTAAGTTTGAAGACAAGCTAGTTGAGATTTATAGATATTGGGCTCTAAGAATTTTTTTGAAGTTTAAATGTTCTTGGTGATAGAATCATGTTCTTGTGAATTGTCTGAGTGGCTCAGATAACAGTAGTCATAAAGGTTACTCCAAACATGAAGGGTACAGTAATGTATACTAGGTTAGGTCATGTCAGCCTCCAAGAATGCCAGAACTAAAGAAAAGTCTTAGTCCTCAATAATAGCCAAATCAGGAAGATAAACAAAAAAATTGAAAATGTTAGGCGAAAAATTATAACCAGCACTGGAAGAAGATATAAGAATAGAAAAACAAATGTGTAAAATTGTAGAATCCAGTCCAGTTTATAGGCAAATAACGAAAGTCTCCAAAAAAGATTAGAAAGTAATAATTTACAAAGGTTCACTAGATAATTTTCGAAACATAAAATTTCTCTCTGCAGTCACCTCCCCTCTTTATTGTTGTGTTCCAACTAAGCTTGCTCTCATTTAATTTGCCTTATTATTTACATAATTGAAAAAGGAATGATAATTGACTACTTGGCCTTTTTGAGTTTCATATACTGAATTTTTCCTAAGAAATCTTAGATTTTTAGTAGTCTCTTAAGGCTTGAAAGCCACAAATCCATCACTAGATTTTTCTTGCAGTAACTATAGATCTGAGTAGATTCTTCTGAAGTTCCAAAATATCCCAAATTTCCTACCAAAGTTGACCTTGCTTAAGACTGGGACCTGTAGAAGCCAGGCATCAAGCCATTTTTTCTTTTCTTTTTCTTTTTAAAATTAATTTTATTGAGAAACAAATAGCAATGAGTCAGTTTCAAAACAGGTTAGTAGGACAGTTACAATAATTAATACATTGCATATTGTTGTCTTCATAGTGGTTATTCATAGTACAAGATGCAGACATGATATCCTGTCCAGACACTATTAGTAAAAATCTTTCTTCTCATTGAATTAAGAGAAAGTATCTATATATCTATCCTATTTTGTATATACAGATATAAAATGGTCTTTCATTTGTATCCCTTTTTTGTTTAGTTTTGTCAGAGATCGGTATTCCACTGCCATTTAAATATTGTAGGTGCATGAATTCAGCAAAATATTCCAATCTAGTCCAGTAGTCCATGATAGTAGTGGGTTATCCGTAGGACTGTCAGTTGTTGACTTGACCCTTTTACAGCTCAGCCTATCAATATGGCTTTACTTTTTATACCTCATTTTTATACTTTTCTGCTGGGGGTTAAGACCAAGATAAAGTAGGACCTCTATAACAAGAAAAGTAACTTTTGTATCTGACATGGTCAGTCAAATCCCATTAGGATGTACCCTGAAACCCTGTACCACAATTTGTAGATCCTTTGTCAGTGTCAGCCATGTGGATGAGTCACAGCCATTGTCAAGCCATTTTTTTCTGAGGCCTCTGTAAGTGCTACACTTCTATATAGTGAACCTCAGTAGTTTAAATGTGTCTGGACATATGTATTCACTGAATTAGTTTCCAATATGGCATTCCAGTGAAAGCCTGGAATGTAAATTAGTTTTCAAATTGTGTACTATTACAATTACCATAGAATCTTATTGAACGTTGGCAAATAACTGTATTGCCTTGAAAATAAAAATATTCAGTAGGTGTTCCTGTATTCTAAAGTCATCAGGTAGGAAGAAAAAAAATTTTTATTTTTTAGACAAAAGAAAAATCTACTAAATTGCCATGAGTTACAGCTAGCTTGAACGAAAAGGAAAGTTCATTAGATGAAACACCAAGGAATCGATAAAATTACAAAATTATAATCAAAAGAATTATTATTCTTTATTATTCATTAAGTTCTGTATAATTGATTTTTCTTCTTTTTTTTTTCTTCTGTATTTTAGGAAAGGGTCTACAGGGTGTTCAGGGTCTTATTACTACATCGAACTCCTAGTGCTTCTCCTGTTTACAGCCTTCCAAGTGCTGGGATTACAGGCGTGTACCACCACTTCCAGTCTCAATTGCCATCTCAGCCTGCCCCGGGGGCGGGGCCAGCACAGCAGACCCAGGGATGGAACTCCCCTGCTTTTTCTTCTTGATCTTATCTTCGCAGTTTTATGAACCTCTACACTTCCCCATTAGTTCTGAAATACATACTCATTCTGGTAATATAGTTGGAAGGTTATCTAAACAATATCGGGAGGAGGGCTGGGGAGATGGCTCAGTGGAATGAGCACTGCCCTGGCAAGCACAAAGGCCTGAGTTCAATCCCCAGTTCTGCCAAAAAAAAAAGATATATATATAGAGACCTGCACCCCAAAATACATGGCACAGGTTCGTCCATGGGTATCTGAGACAATCCTTTTTTGGTAAAAAGGGAGTACTCTCTACAGCTATTTGAAGAAGCTTTCAGGAAGAGTAAGGAAAGCTGTGATAATAAAAAATTAAAATGTTATAGTTTACGAACTTACAAGAGTTGCTGGGGATATATTTCAGTGGCATAAGCACCTGTCTGGCAAACACCAGGTCCCAAGTTTGATCTCCAGTACCAAAAAGAAAAAAACTTAGAGGAGTTAATTATGAAAATTTTGTAATCTGATGGGAACATGGTTAATTTTATGGCATAAAACATTTACATAGGGCTGGTGGGATGGCTCAGTGGTCTAAAGCACCTACTTTGAACAAGCTAAGCTAAACAAAGCACAGGGCCCGC